GTGATTTACTGGCAACATGAAGGCAATCCCCACAGGATGCACATATTCTAACCATTGACTGAATAATTGCACAATATGTTTGAATGAGATTATTTGATTTTCGAGTTGTTAAATCGAAATGGATGCAGTAAGGTATGAATCTGTCGGTGTATACACTCTCTGTCTTCCCTTAAACTAAGAGATTAAAATCGCTTCATATCTTTCCTCCTGTACTATATCCTTATTGCAATCATTCTTTTATATATTAGCACCTCTGAATTAACTACTTTTATGAATCCGATGTTCATCTTGTTGTGTTAATGAGGTATGGCAACTTAAACTGATGCATATATGTGCCTAGTCGTACGTTGTAGCTAACTGACTGACTGACATTAACACTGAAAAGTGGTAGGTTGATTAGTTTAGAATAATTATTATAGATTGTACTATTCATCCGATATCATATATAGTTCTATTCATTATGTTACTTATCACTATCTCTATGTGTTTCATTTTAAATTGTGGTAAACATTTTTAAGTGTTCTATGTTAACATTGTTATGTTCTACATTGTTTTATGTATGACTAACTTACTGACTATTTTTTTCTTTCCTTTTTTTATTTTTTTGAATTTATCAAGTAATGCAATTGTATAAAGATCTAATGTTATCCCTTATTTTTGTTTTAAAAAATAAGAAGAAGAGAAATATACATTAGGCGCTATCTGTCAAACTAGATCAAATGTACTTTACCGGTACATCTTTTGTTTTTTTTCCTGTTTCCTGAATTCACTTTTAACAATAAAGCAACTGTATAACAATAGCGACAAAATAGTTATAATAATAATGCAACATTTCTTTGAAAGATAAATTTTTCGGAATTCGTTTTTTCATCATTTCAGAATTGTTATTTATTCTTTTCAAATGATAACTGATGATTAGTTTAATCATCGCCAAACGTCTACACTGTACACACACACATGGTTTCAATGATCTTTTCTGGTTAACGTTTCTTTTTTAGCAAGTTAGTTTTCTACGAGATGGGGTCGCTAACTTCATGCTTGGGGCCGTCAGTAGCCCTAAAGGAGCTCCAGGCGGAGTTCATACACACACATATATTATCTCTTATTATGAAACTGTTACTTCTTCATTTAAAACAAAACAAAAACTATTATGAAGTATGTAATCTGTTAGCGTACATTAAACTAAAAGTATACTTTGAATATTCTTTTAATCAATTCTTTTTAGTGTTAAGTTAAACTTTTATTGTCATTCTGAATAATACCTTAAACTTCTACTTCGTGTAGATGTGAGCTTCATAGTTATCTTATCAGAATGAACCAATATATCATTTGAGGCCAAAACATTGCACAAATCCATGAAGTCACTAACAAGTGGACTGAGCCATGTTGGTAGGTGTAGACTACATGGTTTTGATCCGCAAGACGATAGAAATCGATGGTTACAGACTTTGAATGACATGGCTCAAAGTTGTTTGCAATGGCGCAGGGGCATCCATTCTTTGTGTTCTTCTAAATTCTAATCTTCTGAATTCTCTATGTTCCTTTTTTTTCTCATTTCAAATATATTTCACTGAATTATACTCCTTGAATAACATCTTCAACCCCTAATATTTCCGATTACTGCTTATACTTTTACTACCTCTACCACTACGGAATTTGAGTCGACAACTGCATCTCTGTGCTAATGTGATATGGCAAATGGAACTGATATACTTATGTATGAAGTTCTATGTTGATACTGACTGACTTACTGAACTTTATATGAAATAAATAATGAATATGTTGTTCAACACGACCAATGAAAGCTCTTTCATTAAACCATCGAACTTGGAGAACTCAACTCTACTAAAACATTCATTTGAGCTATAGATTTTCTCTATCATTTCAAATTGATGATTTTAATACATCCTATGCTTTTACTTAATAACATTTGTGTAATGGAGTCTTGTTCTCTGACCTGAAAGAACAAAACTCCATCAAAATCATTCACTTGAGCTATAAATCTTCTTCACCACCTCAACAATTACTGTTCAAATTTGTAAATTCTTGCATATTCCCTACTGTTCTACATTATTTTCTACTATACCTTTGTTTCAACTATCGAAATTAAGATTATAATGTATTGGTTAAGCACCGCTAGGATTACATTAACAAGTGTTGATTTTATCAAACATGAATCATTCACTTTACTGCCAATTTTGTTATTGCTTTATTGTTCAAGTCAGAGTACAATACAAGTACATTATATAATCTATACTGGTAAAGAGAAATACCAAAAAAAAGAGAAAATACAATACTTAACACAAATATTATACAATGAATATAAAACACCTAGTGTAGTGAACGAGAACTCAGGTAGGGGGGAACTAATTTATCGTTTATTGCAAACTTCCACAGTACCTTTGTAAAATATAAAAATCATACATTAAATACATTAGTTTGATATCTTCCATCAGTTACTCTTTACATACTCCATCATTGTTTTAACACTGTTGTTGTTCCAATGGCTCTCGGTATCTCTTCCTATTCTCATTAATTCAATCTTCTTTTGGTAGGCATTCCACTTCCGAGTAATGTTATATACTACTTATGCCTGTCAGTATAAGTAGCGTACATACTATGATGTTTTTTTTCTATATTTTACAAAGACACTGTGGGAGTTTGTAATAAATAATAAATCGGTTTCCTCCCCCCCCACACACACACCTATGTTCTCGTTCACCACACTAATTTGGAAAAATAGTTTGCACAGTTGAAGGTACTAATCTCATTGACTATTCTAACTGTAAAATAAAACAAATTCTTCAAGTATACAAAAGATTATTGAATACAGCAACTAATAATATACTACTTAATTATCCTATTATGAAACACTATATCCATATGCTTCTTGTTGATACTTCACTGTCCATGAGGTTTTTTTTAATTTACCTACCCTAAAATTCAAATCTATACTTTATTACCGGAAAAAAATTGATGCATATTTTGTACAGTTTCTTTTATTGATTGAAATCATGAGTTAATTGAAGCCAAATCACTATGGAAAACCTGGAAGCACTGGACGGCCGTTTTGTCCTAGTGTGGGACTCCTCGGCAGTGCGCATCCACGATCCCGCACCCCGCGAGATTCTAACACAAGACCTATCAGTTTCGCGCCAGGCGCTTAACCGACTAGACCACTGAGCCGGCATCCAACGGTGTTAATGCCTAGCTTCAACCAACCCACGAAGTTGCACCACCGTATGCCATTAGCCATCAGTGAGCTGATATCTCACAACAGACCTGGTTGAACTCCACTGGTCTAGCTTCAATTGACTCATGATTTCAATCAATGGAAATTTCTAAAATCTCCACAAAACTCTTTCTGATAATTTCTTTTATTTAATACTACTTTTGATGGTGTTTTATTTAAATTTATTCAGAAGATTTCCAAATGATTTAGTTTTGTGAAATGTTCTTACCTGTACAGATAACCACGAATGTCCCCTTTTTTTTAATAATTCAATATTTTCTCTTGGTTTTTATTCTCTTATCTTATCGGATATAGATAATTTTAGCTTATTAATTCTCTGTATACCCTAAGGTCATGTCCTGGTTACTATATATATATTTGTGATAAATATCAATTTTCTTCCCTATTTCTACTAACCTCTTTTAGAATTTCATCATCTTACATTATTGTTGTAGGAGTGTATATGGGTGTGTTAATTAGCATGAAGTCAAGTTCACATTAGATTTCTTTCGTATTAAAAGAATCTTTTATTATTATTTACTTGAACACATAAATACTGGTACAAGGGGGCACGAGATAAATATGCACCACACAAATCTCATTTGATTTGTTTGAGTACTGTGATACTGCCCGGTTGCCCAAGCCGAAGAAGGTGGTTTTCTTAGGGAGCCACGCTCGGAGCCTTCGATTTGAAAGTCTGATCCACCAGACACTGGAGCATCGTAAAGAGATGTAATCCCACATTAACCGATGGCCAATTATTGGTTCATACGCCATTTGTTCCCTCAGAATACTGGTGTCCATGTGCACCATTGGTATGTAATGAGGGTTTTCCAACTCCCCTAGGTGAATTCTCCATGTCCACCAACCCGGTTAAAGCACCGGTCATTCGCTTTTCATCCTCTCAATTTTGTAAACAATAGTGGTGCCACGAGAAGGCAGTGATTAGGACGTCCGTGGCAGTGGTTGTATGCACGTGGCCATGTGAGAGTATTTGGAGAGGAAGAACTGACTCTCCCCATTCTCATACGTACCAGGGCATTTGGGGGCATTAGAATAACCTAGATCGCTTCCACAATATATTAATTACTTTAGGCCGAAATCCAACCACGATTATGCTTAACTATATTATTATTATTATTATTATTATTATTATTATTATTATTATTATTATTATTATTATTATTAATGGCTTTATTCAATAATATATTTTTGGTACAATATAAAATTGTCAGTACAAAGTATTTCAACAAGTTTGCTTTCTCTATTGCTTGATAGATCCTGAGGGAAGTGGTTTCCTAGGAAAACCATCTGCTGCAATTCGCGCATCCGGACAGTATCCCAACTCTCACACAAATCAAATGATTTGTATAGCGCATACATATTTGGTGCCTCCTTGTACCAACGTCTCTATCTCTGCTTGTACTTTTTTTGTAATTCGTATAGTAAAAGGCCTAAAACTTTTCATAAACGCTTCTGAATAGGTCATGCGATTAATAGACATAATGAGGTGTTAAAACAAAATAATAAAAAGAATCCCAGATAACTTGTTGAAATATCTAGATGACAAAAACAGATAGTCCAGATATTCAAGCAGGCGGTTTTCCTTTTTTGACCATTCAATTCCTGGATCATTTTATTGTAGTTTAAATAAGTTTCGTTTCAAATTACTTCATTATGAATCGATTGAATTATTATTATTATTACTACCATGCTGATAACTCTACATTGTTGCCGTTAATGGTTTTTTTTCAATTACTTATTGTAGGGTTTTGTTACTTAAAAATTAGTGATCAACGTCAACTTGTTCGAAGTGCTATGTATCCGATTATGTTATTGGAACTTAGCCGAGATTATGTGAATGAAGATCGAACACGATATAATTATTTCGATTTTACGTAAGTTTATTGATTAGTTAATTGTACATATATATAAATATATACATATAATTTATTTGTAAGTAATTATATACTTCATTAAACCTGCTACCTTTCTTGGAACAAAGGTCACCGACGTAAATTGCTCTAGTTGTCAAAACAGGTATTGGTCTAGCAGGTTTCGAAGAACCTCGACTTTCATCATGAAAACCTTTCAACTGTTAGGGCAGAATTTAAATTGACAAATCGGTTTATATTGTTCAGGGTTTTCTAAGCAAGGTTGTTTTTTATAGGGTATGGTTAAAACTCTATTCAGCCCTCCTCTTTTACAGGGACTTGGGTCTTACAGTAACCCTAGAGGGCTGTTGGTGAAGTTTTGTAAATAATACAGTGGATTTATTTGATAACACAATCAACTTTCAATTTTTGAGACGAAAATTCGACCTTCGGCTCTATCTCTTTCTGTTCAGTTATTGGAGCAGTAACGAGAACTGAATATCTTCACAAGCACACATTACATGGCAATAATAATGATCATAATATCCGCGTCATTAATTAGCATATATTTGTCTACAATAAAAAACTATTTAACCATTTGAAATACTTTAGAGAAATAGTGTGTGTGTTCTTATGTTGTTCACCAGCGATTTGTTATCACTCATCTTTATCTGTAAACGTCTTTTTTCCAGTCAATTTTGCTATTATAAGATATTTGTATCATCTTGCTATGCACTTAATTCATAAATGTCATACCTGATTATCTCTTATTCTTAAGAAAAATAAATCATATCAAACACTTTGTTAATTCCGCTTAAATGTTGAATAAATAATTTTACAATACATTGTAAACTTTTTGTTTAACCTCTTAAACACGTTGGGCATCTATTTGAAGTTTGTTCTGATGATGTTGTTCAGAAGAGCGATGAAAGCTCCATGAACAAACCATTCACCTCAGAGAACGAAATTCCACCAAAATCATTCACTTGAATTATAAATCTTCTCCACCATCTGGCATACAAAATGAATCAAGAATGGAAAGATACATTTCAACGTGTACAAATTTGTAAAGTAGTTGTCCCAGAAGTTTAATCAATACTTCCTATACATATATGTATGTATACATAACTTATGTGCATAGTCGCACCTTGAATAAACTATTAAGTTTGAATCCTTATTATCAGAAAGATAAATGGATGAGTAAACACCATTCAAATAATAAAAAATATCCTGGAGTTCTGGTGAGAAACAGTGACCAGTGGACCGGGTCTGTTGTGGGACAGTAACTCACTGATGACAATGGTGGATGTGTCGCTCGATTTCGTGGATTAGTTGAAGTTAGACACTAACACCATTAGATGCCGGCTCAGTGGTCTAGAGATTAAGCATTCTCACACGAGACTGATAGATCCTGAGTTCGAATCTCGCATGGTGGAATCGTGGATGCACACTACTGAGGAATCTCACAATAGGACGAAACTGCCGTCCATTACTTCCAAATTTCAAATAATGATCTAGCTTCAATGAGCTGATGATCTCAACTATTGAAATTACTATACTATCCACAAAAACCCCTTCAGTTACTAATATCTTTCATAATTTGTTATTTTAATTTCTTTTCTTTATAGTCCTGAAGAACATGCAATTATACTTAGTCATTTTCCAACATTTCATAAAATATCTGGTCATTTAATACGTTCAGGTGAATTTCTTACTCGATTAAATTTAGATAATATTGAATTAACACTTATGTGTGCTCAGGAAGTATTTAAAGGTAAATAAATATTGCTTATTGTACTTATTGAATATGTTTCCATTTTATGTACTTTGTTTTTTAATTCTATACATTGTTTGCCTGTCATCATATAAGCTATTAGTAAGTTAGCTTATTTGTTAAAGCGTTCTAATATTAATAGTTGAATTCATGAGTCAATTGAAGCTAGACCACCATAGAAAACCTGAAAGTACTGGACGGCCGTTTCGGCCTATTGTGGGACTCCTCAGCAGGCATTAACACCGTTGGATGCCGGCTCACTGGTCTAATGGTTAGGCGCTCGCGCGCGAGACTGATAGGTCCTGGGTTCGAGTCCCGCGTTGGGCGGGAACGTGGAAGCGCACTTTTGAGGAGTCCCATACTAGGATGAAACGGCCGTCGAGTGCTTCCAGGTTTTCCATGGTGGTCTAGCTTCAATTGACTCATGATTTCAACTATTGAAATTTCTAAAACTCTCCACAAAACCCTTTCTGATTCTAATATTAGACATTGTGTTCTATGTTTAAATCTCATTTTGTCTATTTTGGTTTATGTAATCGAGTAGTATCATTAGTTCTCTCATTTAGAATGTAACTTACACAAATCTATACCTGATAGTGAATTAATAATGATAAACTATTTAACCGTCAATTGAAGTGTACCATAGTATCTATTCACCAATTACTTTGATTGCTAGATGCATGGGTCGGTTGATATGATTTTAATAAGTTTATGGATTTAACATGACATTATTATTTGTATTTCTTAATAAGGATTGATATTATCTAAGTAACCTGTCATGGATCTAATTCTGAAGTTCATAGGAAACATTACATATAGGGTTCGTTCTAGTTAACACTCACTAGAAGGATGTGCCTATAATCTTGAAGGAATTGATGCTTCTCATAGTATTTGAAACCAAATCATTCAGCTTCACAGTCTGAGATGTTATCATTGAGATATTCAGGCACTGAATGACCTCTACTATGGAACATCTAAAAATGATGAATCATGGAGTAGTGATCAGTGTAATGTAAATATATTCTACGTAGCTATCCATACTTTTTCCACTATGTTTGCTGATTAAAATGTTTCTCTTTGAATTGAAAAATGACAACTATTTTTTTACTCGTTTACATTATTCCTTTTCTTTTTCCTTTGCTCATACCTGTTTATCTTTTAATCCTTCCTAGTGATATTGCCTCTTTCTCTCTCTCTTTCTCCTACTTTCACCTAAAGTTTGTTATCTTTTTGTGTGATTAATTAAAAGATTTTTTTGTACATTCTATAGAAAAACAATCTACTTGCGTAAACATTATTCGTACTTATCATTTCTTAAAATCCTTCATTAGTTCTATTTTATGTCTTGTTTTGTTTACCATTGTTGGTTAATGTAATTAACTATTGCCTTTCTTATAACCATTTCATTCATCTACCTTTATATATACCTACCGACATCTATTTGATTGTCACTATATATAATTATGTACATTGTATGTCAGTTATTTTTATTAGTTATGTAACAAGAGATAATGAATAAGGAAACTAATTAGTTAGTACGTTTATTTTTGTTTTTGTTCATTCACAGTATTAATAATATGAACATTTACTAAAGCATATACTGATAGATATAGAAGACCTGTGTTCTGTACATTCATATGCGTATAGGTGCTTGTATGATGATGATTGATAACCTTGTATTTTATGTGATATTTTGTCCTTATTAAGCACTACTACTACTACTGCTACTATTACTACTTCATACATACCTACTCCACTTTCTATCGCACTTGTCAGTACATTCTATTTTAATTAGAGGTGGATGGTGGTTGACAATGTAATCCAGAACGTCAGTTTCATCCTATTTAATGAGACTCTGGAACTTGAATGCAACACCTTTCACTTCAAACATTATCGCTTTATCCACTTAGCTATGGAGTTCAAATAACCAATATAAATAAATTAAAATCAATATGTTCCATGTTTTAAGGAAAGAAAAAAACAAACAAACGTTTTAACCATTATTATTCGTTTTTCCTTAATAAGAAAACGGAAGAATGTTATGTATATATGCATGTTCATTTACTTTTAAGAAATGAAATATGCAGTTTATTTTTATTGTATGTGTCTTTCTTCTCGTGACGTATACTGTGGTTAAGTTTCCTCAAAAGAATGAATGTAATTATAAACTATTGCGTAACTTGATTAATATTCTGTTTTTGACAATGATTTATATATTTAGAAAGGGCAAAAGAGTTTTCGTCATAAACTGATATCGACGGAGAATGTAGACAGTGATTAATAATTATTTTCTCCTTGTTTAAATCATACTTCAGTGTAGTGCTTATCTATGACTTTACATATGATTACGGTCTAAAAATATCTAGATCTTCCTAGAACGGAGAATGATCTTATCATTCAATAAATATCGATCACAATATCAGTCATTGAGGCATATTTTCTTTAATACAAGAAAATGTTGAACTGGAATTCGATTAAAGCCAGCGATTTTTGAATTATTCATCCAATAATTCACTTGGTATTGTTTTGCTTGAAACTTCCCATTGAACTTTAAGACTGTAATTGATCAGTCTGTTATTGGCATATGTGCATACTGTGCATATTGTCTTAATTCATAAGCTTTATAAGCAAAGATGGATAGTGGCTAGCAGTGGAATCCAGGACACGCGTTTCGTCCTTTTTGCTTATAAAGCTTGTGAATTAAGGCAATATTGAGGCAATCCGCATAGGATGTAAATATGCTAATAACAGATTGATCAATTACAGTCTTAAACCTCAATGGGAAGATTCAAGCAAAACAATACCAAGTGAATTTAAATTCACCTCATTGCACAAGCAAGTGGCTATCAGGACTCAGTAGCTGAGTGGATAAAGCGATGGCGTTTGAAGCGAATGGTACTGTATTCGAGTCTCAACGTGAACATCAACTCTGAGATGCAGGTACATTGAGGTGACGAGTCCCAAATAGGACAAAACGCGCGTCCTGGATTCCACTACTAACCTGTGCTCAAGTATTTTACCTCTTTGGAGTTATTCTTTTGTGATTTTACATAACTACTTCATCGTAAATTGTTACTATCACTAATAAATAGGAATAGAAAATTTTTTACCGGTATACACCTATTAAATTCGTCACAGTTAATAAAATAAATAGAAATATTTATGTTGAAATAATGATATTATTTATTAGAAAGTAATACCAGTAATACAGAGGCACTGTAAATAAATGTGCACTAAAGACTTGTATTATCCCAATTCATAAGGAATGCACACTATCTTAAGCGCTTATACACATGGTTCACCAACTTTTTCATTTGAGTTTTGATTAAGATCATGAACCGATTAATGTTACATAACTATTGAAAACCTGGAAGCCCTGGACGACCGTTTCGTCCCAGTATGGGACTCATCAATGGTGCGCATCTACGATCCCACATACAGGACTCGAACCCGGATTTTTCGGTCTCGTGCGAACGCTTAACCTTTAGATCATTAGGCCGATATCCAACGTTTTTCATTTCTAACTTCAACGATTCCACTATGTTGCGCGACCATCTTCGATCGTCTTCGGTAGGTAACAAAACATTCGACACGGTTGAAATTCACTAGTTTTCATTGATGGTCTAACATTGATCGGTACATTATCTTAGTCAAACCTTAACAGTCTTTATTACCCTATACTGATATTTATAACATTCAGTTCATATACACAGTGTATAGCATCAAATGAGGCATTAGTTACGTAATGAATACACGCTGATATTAAGTAAGAATAAAATGAATAAAGCACAGTTAATTAAAATAAGATTACTAATCTAGAAAACAGTGGAAATAAAAACACGTAATAATGTAATTAATTGAGGGAAAGAGTCGAACAATATATTGCGATGTAATGAAGGTACGTTTATCATCAAGGTAAAGAAAGATTAACAATCATCTCTTTTAAAACATATAAACCAGGTTTTAGCAAACTTCAGAAAACTAGAGTTTGACTACTTATTAATTAACCTGAAAGATTCCAAGGCATCGACCTGATGCCCTGTATTCATGAGATGTTTAGGAATATATTCAAAGAATTTAAGAAATGTTTTCTCTTCTGTTCTGCAAATGTAACTGCCTTGGCAGGTACTCGTAAATTTACAATTACAGTTGGAGGTAATATGAAACGGGCGTTTGTTAACCTTTGACTGGGTTATTGAACATGTTGTTTTATATGGTATTAATAGTTTGGCTGCCGGGTACTTTCTGGTTAATGCAGTGTTAAGCTTCCTGTTGATTGGGCTTGTGACATCACTTATGAATTTGAAATTTATAGATATTGATTTTTGTTGTTGTTGACTGTAGTCACACTCGTCTTGCTTTCTATAGACTTTTTATATTTGTCATCAAATTTCCATGGATAGCAGTTTTCTCTTAGGCATTTTTCCACGTCCATCAATTCTACTTCCAGTTTGTCGGTTGTACAATTCCTTCCTATACCCTTGCTATACTTACTGATATGTCTTCAAAGTAGCTTCCAACTAAAATCTTTCACTGTAAGTAATTTAAATCCATTTTGTAATTATGATTTTTAAATATCACAGGATGTAAGCAGCTGACGAAAACTAAACGAAATAAAATGAATCCATATTATCCTGTTCAAATCTTTGCTCTTACTTTCTACAAGAATAATAAATCGTTGAACATCTTGAATACGATATATGTGTATATATCTAAATAAAGTTCTTTTACTCCAATGGGTATTTGAGTCAATATATAACTCACTATACTGAACCTGTTACGTACAATATATATGTATTTTCAAATTGTAACATCAACACCAAATGTATATCATCACTATAGGGGTTGTGGAGATTATGAATCGATTGGCGTTAGACCACCATTGGAAACCTGGAAGTACTTCACGGCCGTTTCGTCTTATTTTGGGACTCCTCAGCAGTGCGCATCCACGATCCCGCCTGCGGGATTCGAACTCAGGGCCTTAAGTCTTGCGCGCAAGCACTTAACCTACTGGACCACTGAGCGGATGCGCACCTCTGAGGAGTCCTAAAATGGGATGAAACAGCCGTCCAGTGCTTCCAGGTTTCCAAAGATGACCTTACATCAATCGGTTCATGATCTCAATCAAAAACTAAATGTATTTCATATCGTATTTTTAATAACTTCGAATATAGTAATTGTAAATTAGTTTATTCAGTTAAATCTGTTTTCATTTTTATTTTAATTTTGTTAACTGATACAATATGGCTTTCATTGGGGTCAGACGTCTAGATTTTTTCATGTGTTTCATATTATTTCATTGCTAAAAGGACCTTGACATGGATTTAGTCTAATTGACGTCAATAATGACTATGAATTTATGTTTATACACGTGTTACATTACGGTTGTTGTTGTTGTTGTGCTGTCTGTTTTTTTTTCTAGATTTTACACATTCACACTCTCCATTGCTCTCATTTTCATCTGTCCTTTGTTTGTCCTATCTGTATTGTTTTATTATTTTTTTTTCATTTATCAGTATACAACAACAGTTTGGGATTTTTCTCGGTCAAGGTCAATAAACAAATCAGACACTGTTTACACTGTATTATTAAATCCTATTAGTGTATAAATGTGTGTTTATAGTTATAGACGATGAAAATAGAATGACTGGATTAAGGATAAAAACGAAGGTCATGTTATTTACTTATTTATTTACGTTACATAAAAGTTTAGTATAAGGATGAATGAGCCAATCATAATTGAAAATTGGATTTTTAGGTTTTTGCGCGAAAATGAAAGATCATGAACATTAGGTATCTCACCTTCATATATTACTTAAAACGTTTACAATAATGAATAAAAATTATTAAGGTGGTAAATGTATAAAATCTGTCTCTTTAGACACTATCCCTAACTCCTAAAATAGAATCTTTAACCCGTAAACGAACCTTCATCTGATGGAGCTACATTCTACGGATGAACTAATCCGAAGGAGATTCTTAGATATTTGAGCGTAATCCATTCATTCATATGTCAGTTGGTGATAAAAGGTCTGGGGAAAGTTTTGGGGTTCTAGTGCTATTTCCTCAAAATTTACTTTAGCGGCTTCCCCAAAATGAGGAGCTCGGGTGTGTACACCCTTCAATATTACTGTTTTCTTTTCCATAAACTATTTATTCATTAAAAAAAACTTTTGTGTTCTCTGATTGGCTTAAAACTAACTGAAATGATGTTGTAGTTGTTTTGAGCTTATCCGTATACTAATACTATCGTCTAAATATTTGACGAAACTATGAGCATATTTTCCATAGATTATTGATCATTAAAGATTCCCATTGTGAAAATTAGAACAACAAAACATGTAAGCGAACAATATTGTTTTCAATTAGATTATCACTGGTCGAAATCATAAGTCAATTGAAGCTAGACCACCATGGAAAACCTGGGAGCACTGGACGGCCGTTTCGTCCCAGTATGGGACTCCCCAGCAGTGCTCATCCATGATCCTGCATCGCGGGACTCGAACTCAGGACCTATCAATCTCGCGCCAAGCGCTTAACCAACTAGACCACTAAGCCAACCGGCATCTAACGGTGTTAATGTCTAACTTCATCATCAGGCTTTACTTTAATATACATGAATATTTATACGAAAATATAAAACCAATCAAGGCAATATGGGTCAACAATCACAATGAATTATAATAAGTCACCACATATAATAGGTAAAATTACAAGTTGATAGTAGGAAGACAAGTGTACTGATAGTAGTAAGAATAATAAAATACGATAACAAAAGTCTTATCAATAGTTAAACGTTGAAAATAGGTCAAACGTGGGTAAATAGACTTGGAATAGTCATCATTACGTAATAAGAAGTGTGTAAATGATTAGATGGTAAAGAATACAAACGGAAAGAGGCGGAAAATTACAAACAAATACAGGAATGTGAAAATAAGGCTAATGATAAAAGCAAAATAGATAAAATTTAGTTAAGTTATAACTGGTCATGGAAGGGATAGGGGGGTTAGGAAATTTCTTCTGTACACATAAATTGGGATTAAATGTTATATCCTTGATCTTCTAATATATATATATATATATATATATATATATATATATATATATATATATATATATATATTGGATAGATCTAATCATTTAAAAAAAGAAACTAATGGCATCAAGTTGCCATGTATATGATCGATATTTTTGGTGGGGACAATCCGGCTGTAATATAATTTGATTTTTTTATTCGTTGTCATAGTAAATCATACCAGTTAATTTGTTGTCATTTAATAATGAAGAGTTTCAATTCAGTATAATCATGAAATGTATCTTAAGAGGGAATATGATAACACAAATATATATTCAATTATTTATTTCCTCATACTAATCATCAATTACGTCATATCTTGTGTAGTACAGATTACAACCTGAAAAATATGTTATGTGATATGGCGGCATTATTTTTTTTTAGTGGTTAAGGCCATTCAATAGAAATTCCTTGACCTATATTTCATTCTAATTAGAATTTATCATCAATATATTCTTGTATCATTTTAAAGAAATCTATATTTGCTTCATTCATTAGTGTTTCAGTCAGTGTTGTTACCACGACGATATGGTTTAAAAAGTTTGACAGATAATGTTTGAGTAATGAATGATTCGAATAGATATCGCTTATATAACAACAATCGGTGAGAATATAATGTATGGATGATTATTGAGCGACGCTAAAGTGACCTTGAGAGTGTCCACTTAATAGCCAGAACCAAATGAGGGTTATAAACCTGCGTGAGGAATTATAATTACCATGTACAGTTGATGATTAAGGCTAAGAATTAGGTTCAGGGTTTTCATCACGAACTGACATCAATTATAATGCCAAAACTCTATTTATCCAGATGGATGAGTGAATTTCGCGCCAAAATCCAAGACCTGTTATCTTATACGTGGTTGGTTCGTCCATAAATTATAGTCTCACCCAACAATCTACTATTACATCATTCAGATAAATTTTATCAATTACAAACTGCAAATCATAGTGTTTGAATCAATTTACAATGGTCGTTTAACATGGAATTATTCAATTATTATATAATTCATGTGCATAACTTAATAACATATTTCCTCTGTTAACTTTTAATCTTACATCAAATAGATCGTCAAGGTTTAGATGATCCTGTGACACCAGCATATTTATTTAATTTAGTTGGACAAGCTCTTACTGATCATATTATTTCTGGTAAGTAATGCAATTGACTTTTGCATGAATAAATATTGGCAAATTATATCGTTTCAATAGTTGAAATCATGAGTCAGTTTATGCTAGACCACCATGAAAAAACCTGGAAACACTGGCCGGCCCTTTCGTCTTATTGTGAGATAGTAACTCACTAATGACAATGGTGGGTGTGTCGCTCAATTTCGTGGATTAGTTGAACTTATACATTAACACTGTTGGATGCCGATCGACTCAGTGATCAAGTGGTCAAGTGTTCGCACGCGAGACTGATAAGTCCTGGTTTCGAATCTCGCGGAAATGGTCTTGGATGCGCACTGCTGAGGAGTCCCGCAACCGGGCGAAACTGCTGGCCGTCCAGTGCTTCCAGGTTTTTCATAGTGATCCAGCTTCAATCGACTCATGATCTCAACTATTGTAATTACTACGATTTCCACAAAACCCCTTCTGATACAAATTATATCGTATTCATTATTAATATTTTATAGTTGATATTTTATATATTTCTTGTATAATTTTTTGATAAAGCTAAACTTAAATGGTAAATCGATGATGAATGTACAATACGTATAAAGATCACGGTGTACATTTTTAAAACAGTATGTTTTCTAACTATAATAATGAGATAGAAAAGAAAATTAGGCTAAGTATCAGCTATAATGTCCAAGAATGATTTGTAGTTATATTTCTAATAATTAGTGGGATAAGCTCAACACATTAAATCATAAAATGATTTTAAATAGAAAACCTTTAAGGACCAGTAAGTACTAGACTTTTATTTCATCTTAGTATGGAGTTTCTCAGAAGTGTGCTTCTACGATCTCATTAAGAAATGCACCTAAAGGACTTTAAGCTTCAAACCAAGCATTTAACCTTTGGGCTTTTGGGTGAGCATCCAACGGTTTACTTTTTTAATTTTGAACAATTCACGGCATTGAGCAATTATCATTTAATACCATACCGTTTTAGCTCTCTCTATCTCTCCCTACCTGCATTTCATGAATTACACCAAACATTTATATTCAAATTGTGTAATATCAAACCTGCTTAATTCCTATCTCCTTACTCTTTTGTAACTAATTGTGATAATTAATCGATTGTGTAACTTCTCCTCGATTTCAACTTTGTATCCGTTGTATCACTAACTGATCCCTATTGAAATATATTGTATTGAATTAATTCATCACTATTCAAATGGTTATTGTTTCTATGTTTAGTTGTTTAATCCATACATTAGTGATAGAACCATGACATAGAGCAATATAGATAGTAGCATTTGTTCGTTCAACTTGTATCTTTAAGTGAAATATTTAGACGATAGATTTCTTTTTCATTGATTCTATTATCTATCGGCTTTTCTCTCTTTCTCTCTCTCTATTTCTATGTTTAGTTGGATATTCATTAGAAGAACGTTGTGCTGCATTATCACTTATTTCACCAATGTTAGAAGAATTAAATATTGAACATCATGAAGTAATTGCTCAATTACGTCAAGATAGACCAGATTTAGAATTTCCACAATTATATCTTGAAATGTTTCAATTAACTGAAGAAGAACAACGTGATCTTAAATCTACTAATTATGATCCATCTGATGATAATCGATAATTGAACAGGCAAATTTTAATATAATACTTATAATCTCATGAAAGAGGCATTTATATCTGAATAAATTATGGAATAAAAAGCAAACATCAATCCTACAATTTACTTACTTAATAATACTATGATAATTCAAATTCACCTACTAAACTACAGCATGATTACAGAATATTTCTATTGTATTACTATTATTATTATTATCATCATGATCATCATCATCATCATCATTGTCTTCGGATCATGTTGTCTATTTGCACACATTGAATTGATTTTAGTTTGCTTCTTATCATTTCTTATGATCATTGTCGAAGAAAAGCGCCTGAAATCCATACAGAGAATGTTATGAAATGAATGACTGCACAACTTTGTTGTATGTCTATATGTGTACTTTTCTGTTAAACAATAACTAATGACTTTTATTTAATATACATCTATGTATTCGATAATTAGCTGTACTCTATAGATATGAAAAGCATTTCTTTTCTTCACTTTACTATTATTATTATTATTACTGTATTTATTATTGTCAAATTAATTTCACATTGGGAATTTCATCTTTTTAAAAGGTGTAAATGATTTACAATTTATTTTGACCGATTATTCACTTAATCCTATATATGTACACATTGTTTATTACGGGTAAATGAAATAATGATCTTATTTAGAAGTAGTAATAATCATAGTAGTGGTAGTAGTAGTAGTATTAGTAGTATCTGTTGTACATTTATTAATTTGATTTTGTTTTTGTCTTCTATTACTATTACTGGTACTACAACTATTATTCCCGATTATGAATAGTTTGTATGTCCCGGTGTGTGTTATTTCATGTGTATGAATGGGATAGGTGGGTGACTGAGTAAGTAAGTGATTGAATGAACGAATATGTAACAACAACAATTTCAAAACAAACTGTTATAGTTTTAAATCATCCTATTTCTCCTTTATTAACCCTTATTCAGGTTACTGTTTATTAATTATATTAATTAATGATGAAAGAGTTTTCTTTTCTTTTGTTTCAATGTGTAATAGAGTAGTAACACGACAATAGGGATTGTTTTCAATTTCTATCTACTTTCTTTACGTTTTCTATCTATATTATGGTAATTTATTATTATTATTATTATTATCTTGCACGTTATTTGTTTAATATTTACATTTAAATTCTTAAATTATAGCGCCTTTATTGATTGTGTATAACTCTGTACTCTATTACATTTATATTCATGTACACTTACACTTAAATGTATGTATGTGTATGTGTCTAATATACATCCTAACTACTCAACGTGCAACTGTTGCATTCATATTTTCCCATTTATTTGCACATATATATATATATATATGTATGTATTTGTGTTTTACCATTCAGCAAACTAATTTTTTTCGTCTAATCTTTAACTATTATTTACCCCTTTTCTAAACACTTTTATATCACTATATTTTTCTTTAACAAAACTGATAGATTAAACAATGAATGATGATATGGATTGGTAACTGAAGAGTAATAATGATCCTTTTTTTGTATTTGTTTCTTTAATTTAATACACACACACACATACAAACAAACGAAAAGCACACAACAAAAGCACACAAGTAAGTACGTACACTAACTACAATTAGATGTATATCCTTTAAAGAATGGTTCATTTTGATTTGTTCATCTTGGAATAATTAAGTAATAAGCATAATCATCAAAGAAATACAACAACAAATTACACAAATATAATGAATATGATGGTAATCGTTTATCTTCATTGTTGTTGTTTTTGTTGTTAAACTCAGGGAAAAGCAAGTATCAATATCTATCAAGGGTTTAACATGATTGTTACTGTTATTAGTTTCATTTCTTCTGATAACTATTTTTTCCCCTGTTTTCTTCTTTGTAGACATTGTTGTTTTCCTTCAATGATGTGTTTTACATATTGATGTTTCTCTCTGTGTGTGTGTATGTGTGTTCCTTTCTATCACTATGGTATTCTTTTTCTTTTTTTCTCTTTTCAATAAATGAACGCACAGGACAAATTATAGAAAGTATTTATACCCATATTAACATGTATATCGATTGTTTATTTTTAAGTCAAGTTATTTTGTTTGTTTGTCTGTCTTTTTATTGTTTATATTTCTGGCAATTTATCCTTTTCAATTTAAAAATCCCTTTATGCTTTGGATTGGTAATTTTCAATTGTGTGAATGTGTGTGTGTGTTCATTTGTCCAGCGTTGGATACTGTCAACATTTTGGTATAATTACAATACCTATCATATTATCTTTCTATTAATCTCTTTTTATGGTTTCATTTTGATCAGTTATCTATTTTACTCTTCATTGGTAAAGTAGAATTTAGTTTAAATTAATAATTTCTTTCTTTTTCCCCCCAGTTGTATACATATTTATGTATGTAGTGTTGTCAATGAAATCTGATTCATTCTCATTTCTCCCTATTTTAACAAAAAGAAAGACTTTTCTCCTTATGTTTCATATTCTCATCTTATATGATGCCACAATTTATTTATTTTCTCCAGTTACTGTACTCTACTATTCAATCTTATCATCTTTTATAAAAATGAAGGTTGGACATTCATAGAGATAGATAGTCTGACAAATATATATCATAATGTACACACCGAAGTATACGTCTTCATCATACATATATATACATATGTGCACACATACACACACACACAAAGACTTTTAGTCGGAACAATATACCTTTGATACTACTTTGATTCTCTTAAAGTTCTCTTAGACTTTTTTTCTTCTTCTTTTCCATCTCTATCATATTTTCAACTTATTGACACTTGCCTATTCTTTTATTCTAAGCGCCAAATTGATTTTTTTATAACTATCGTCATTATTGTCCTTCTTTGGTTTTTCTATAGATAGATAGAGAGAGAGAGAGCATTAAACAATTGTCCCCAGTAGTATTTCTGTGAATATGTTATTGTTGTATGTATCTCAAGTGGTTTATCTATTACCTTTATTATTATTATTTTTTCCATCTCAGGATATTATTGTATATCGAAAGAGAATCAATCATACAAAGTAAATGATCAATTTCATTTTGTATGTTCTTCCATCTTATTTATGTGCCTCTTATTTATTATTGCATTCATCAAAGAAAACAAAACTTTTTATTTATCTTATTTTGTTTTGTTTTTTGTTGCTTAACTGTTTGTTTATTCATTTGGTTGTTTTTGTTTGTCCTTGAAGCATGAACTATGAAAGATAAACCCAGTGTAGATTCAATAACACAGGGATATATCATTATTATTATTATTGTTACTATTACTATTGTTATTATTGTTATTATTAATGATACCATTGTACTAATAACATTTATTATTTATATCGTTGTTAAGATATTCTTTATCGTATTATTGATTGTTGACAATAAAGCGCCTCTATGATTTACCTACTAAATTTCTATTGATCGATTGTTTTTAATGGAATTCTGTTCTATGTAAACTATGAATCAGTTGTCAATTTGTCATTTTCTCGGTGTTTATTTTCTATTTGTTGTTTATTACAAATAAACACTTGTTTAGTATGTATACTTTGCCATTTTTTATTTCTCTATGTGGTTTCTTGTTAATGCTCGTTCTTTATTTTTATCTCTCTCCCTTTGCGTATATGTATGTATGTATGTGTGTCAACAGTACTGACCTAGTCCACGTCCTTTGTTACCTTTTTAAAAATTCTCTTCAGGTATCATCTGTCTATTCATGTCTGTATTTATATGATGATCAGGTACACGTTAAACATATAGAAAGAAAAAAACAACCATTTTCATCCTTTTTTTCCAATTGCTTTACTTTGTAATGACTGTCTCTGTTTCCTTCTCTCTCTCTCTCTCTCTCTCTCTCAGGGTTTTCTATGGTAATACAATAACTGTAAATGTCGTTATTGTAAAATGTATTTCAGTTCATCTTTGTCGTTTATATTGTTCCTTTTTTGTTTTTGTTACTGGTTACTCGATGTTGTTGCTATGTTGGTACTTTTCTAAATTACTTTTGTATAATTTTCTTCACACTAAAAATAGGCAAAGAGTATTCTCTTTATGATTATTATTTATCTATCTTCAACATGGTCTAGCCTATTCACACCTTATTCAAGAAATTATTCGAATTTGGTCTTTGCCAAACTCAACATCAGGTGCTTTATGTCCACATGTGTTTAGTGTATGGTATTGTACACACGCGTGCATATATATGTGTGTATGTGTGCTCATGTGTATATTATATCGTCAATTGTCTGTCATTGTTGAACATGGCAATAATTATAAACTTTTGTGGATATTATTACATACTACTGATATAAAGGATACTACTACTATTACTATCATTACTACTACTATTACTATTACTACTACAAATACTACCTAATTAGGGTGTTGATAGTTATTTGGTTGCGTTTTATTATTCTCCTGCCCCATTCATGTGTTGTTTTTTTTATTGACTTCTATCCGTTTCCATTTTATTCTGTCTGTGAATATTAGACAATGTTTATTTGGCTTAAAAGTTCTTTTTTTTTAAAGAAAAAATATGATGTTCATTAGTTTCTCAAAATTGAATCTTTTATGTTTCATTTAAACTAAGGAAAACTAACTAAAATCAGTAGAAAGAATTAGCTAAACAGTGATCTTCCTTCCTTCTTTCCTTCACATTGATTTCTATCTCCCAACCTATATGGATGATGATACAAATGAACCTACCTATCCATTCGTACTCCTTGTAGAAAAAGAAAAGAGAAAAAAATGAATCAATACAATAAACTATCCAATCCCGTGCTCAGGTTTTATTTATGAATTTTTTTTGTGCATATACATTAACAAGTGAATACATGTTTTATGTACTTTTTACCCACTTCATCCTTATCCTGACACTGAATTCGGTGTCATTCTTTTTCTTTTTTTTTCTTTTCTAAATGTTACAACTCGGTTCTTTTTTTATTATTATGTTTCCGACTTCCATAATCCTAATAATAATAATAATGATCCTTATTATTAGTAGTATTATTGCTATCATCATCATCATCTTATTCGAAGCGCCTCTATCCTACTTCTTATTCCCTTTTCTTCTTTTTTTTTTACATACCAACTTCTCTTTTAGTTTGAATTCTTTAAAGAAGATTCTCGTTTAGTCTATTTATATTTTGTCTATTTCATTTACTTTTACTGCGCCCTCTATATTTGTATTCATTGATTCTTAAAAAAAAAAGACAAAAACAAAAAAAAGAAAAAAAGAAAAGAAAACCCACAAGACAAGATTATTAGTTTTTCAGTCCAGGGACATTTTAATTTGTACTTGTTTAATTTCATTTTACTATCCTAGAATATATATATAACTTATTTGGCCAGTTTGTTTATCTCTACTCTCCTTGTTTTTTCTTCATATTCTCACTATAAGCAACACAGAAATATAGGCAGTAACAAATTTTGTTTTGTTTTGAGTAAATGAGAGAAAAACAAACAACAACAATAACAATAAATAAGCATCTTATGTAAGTCTTGTTAGATTATATTGGTTAGTTCATGATGATTACTATGAGTATTATTAGTAATAGACATGTTGCCGTTGTTGTTATTATTATTATTATTACTTTTCTCTTCTTGGTTTTCTGCTTTATTTCACTTGGTTTCTCTCCTTTTTTTCTCTCTCCCTTTCTTAATAATGTTTTTTTTGTTTGTTTGCTTTTTTTGTAATGAACACAAAAATCAAAATAAAGAAACTCTCTTTTATGTATCACTGTGTTGTTGTTGTTCTTGTCGTTGCTTTAATGCCTCGGAATTTCCAGTCAACGATTATTTTAAGTAAGATAGACAAATCGGAAGAATACTGATAATTTGATCAAATTAAATAGGTGTTAATAGATGATACTACTGTTGCAGTGAACAAGAATACGAATGAGGACAATCGAATGTTTCTGAGGAAAAAATTATAGAGCATTTCACTAAAATTGAAAAACCATATAGGAAATAGTTAATTTGCATCGTCTCCATCGTCTCAAATTTGACTGTTCGTGTTGCAAACATCAATCCATTATCAGAATGGGTTTTGTGGAGATTCAGTGGTTTGGTTAATTAAGCGCCTGGCGCGAGACTGATAGGTCCTGTGTTAGAATCTCGCGGGATGCAGGATCGTGCATGCGCACTGCTGAGGAGCCCCGCACTAGGACGAAACGGCCGTCCAGTTCTTCCAGGTTTTCCATGGTGGTTTAGCTTCAAATGACTCATGATTTCAACCAGTGAAATCAATCCATTGTCTCAGATTTCATTGTTCATGCACTTCATGCCAATTACATCCCGTTCCCGTTCTTTCCTTATCGATCTTCTACTGAAATAAATTCTATGCCTGACCACCGTTATATACTACTTATGTGGATGTAAGTAATCCACACCACAGTGTTTGTAGACAATTAGTCAATACATAAACACAAAAATTGAATAACTAAAGTTCTTGATCATATTCTAAGAAAACTACTGAACATTTATGAATTCTTACGGGTTCCGATAACCAATTCATGAATAATCTAGAAGATTCTAATCAATCATTTAAAATTGAAGAAAACTCATCTAAAATACATCCATGAATTGTGAAAGGTTAAATCATGTTTCTAATAGTATGAAATCAAGCCAGAATCACATCAAGAAGTGAACTTATCAGCTGAGATGCCAGATTTATGAGAACTTTCAAAGTTGTTTTGAATAGTAAAAATAAAGATAAGACAAATGAGGAGTATTCTGTTGTTGATATAAACTATTTTTCGCAATTTAATAGTTTCACACAACCTTTTCTTCACATTGATAAATCTAAATAAAAGTGTAGGCAATACTAAGTCTGATGTTCTTCCATTCACATCAATATCACTTAATGTATTCATTTATTAACTGGGAAAAGTTTTTTTTAATAATTTTCGCAAACAAGTGTTACATTCTAATTTGAGTATTCTCTACCATGGAAAACATATTTATAAGTTGTCAGTATTTTTTAAAGCCGATATTTTGATGTGGGTTACTTATATCCACACAAGTAGTATATAACGGTGATCAAGCATAGAATGTATTTCAATAGAAAATCGAGAAGGAAAGAACTAAACACGGAACGTAATTGGTATGGAAATACAGGAACAATGAAATGTGAGACAATGGACTGATATTTGCAAAAGGAACAGTCAAGTTTGAGACGATGGATTGATATGTTGCAAATTAACTATTTCCTATATGGTTCTTCAATTTTAGTGAGATGCTCTATAATTTTTTCCTCAAAAACATTCGATTGTCTTCACTCGTGTCCTTGTTCACTATAATATCAGTTCACCAACGAAATTACTGTCTAAAAATAATGCATACTATCCATGTAATCATTCAAGTGTACATATAAATATACTAAATTCCTATTTATGACTTGAAACTGTACTATTGAGTGATAAACTTTGTGTCGGTCAGATTATTCTTAGTACGGATCCAATCCTATCAATCTAATCATAGAATGGCCACTAGTCGAAGTGACTCAATATGACATGCGTTATATTGAGTTGTATGATGGTAGTTGAAGATAATCGACAGGATTTCTAATAATGAATCACTAATAGAGATATGAATGAATAAAATATTTGTCTATGTTTAAAAAACTTATTCAACACTCTATTTGCATTGAAAAAAACTCATGTGTTATATCCCATTATATTCCCGTGGTTTAGATTAGGAAACTGTAATTCCTTATGTGTGAATAACTATCGTTTTTCTATGGTCAATAAAAATGTGACATTTACAGGTACAGGTACACTTTGCTGACGAATGTCAAACAGCATGGAACCTATCTCTAAAGTTTCTTGTCTACTACTTTTAACCACTATCTCATCTCAAAATAATGCACACAATATCGAGTCATCTAGACTATTAGTAGTAGTAGCGACTGCGCACTGCTGAGGAGTCTCACAATAGGACGAAGCGGCCCTCTGTCCAGTGCTTCCAGGTTTCCATGGTGATATAGCTTCAATTGACTCATGATATTAACTGTCGAAATTACCACAATCTCCACAAAACCACTTCTGATAATAGTAGCTACATTGTAATTTAATCGATAGAATCCGATCAGCACTAAGCAAGAACTTACCATACATGAAATTGATCAATCATCTGGTAATATAATTATTCGATTTTTTTCTTCAAAAAGAAAAACCGCCTTAATTTCACAAATTTATTATTTTAAAAAAAACTGCAGACAAATATTTCATAGTTAAGCATAAAAATTGTACTTTAATCAACTATTATCACTGAAATAGTTGGGATTCTTAAAAATAGTTGTCTGAATATTTATCTTAAAAGAATATTTCAGTAATTTGTATAACTGACTGACAGTACGTCGAGACTTAATAGTTTATTCTAGTTTTCGGACAGACCAATTTATTCATTCTTCTTGAATCACATTTTGAGCTTGTTAATTACTCGCTTCACGTCGATTCGATTTGATTATAAAAAATTGTGCGTTACGCTTAATTAAAGCGAGTTAGTTAACATACCTTCTGCAATTCGTTTCGCCTTGGTTTTTCTTATTCGGTTCCTTCACTCCATCTCTCTGATTGTCTGTTCTGATCAATGATTGTACAAAATATACGTATTCAAAACTTCATTCTCATATTTGATTTATATAATTCAATCATTCACTAACACGATTTCAGTCAATAATTGTATACGAGGATTGTCGGTATATATAATTGGATAACAATAATCATACGGTCCAATTGAAGTCAGACAAATCAGGATGACAAATATATCTACCTTTACAATTAAGACGAAATAGATGTTATAGATTCCATTCTTAACTTACTTACTTACGTCTGTTACTTCCAATAGAGCATAGGCTGCCGACCAGCATTCTCCAACCCACTTTGTCCTCGGCTTTCTTTTCCGTTCTTAACTACATTCCAATAATAGTTAATCTCCTTCAGATTGTAACTGATATCATTACATAGATTGAATTGTTTATCAGCATTATCTATCAGTCAGTTATGATTGACTTCATATTATTCACTTACTTTATAAACACTAACTAGTATCGACATAAAGTAGTTGTTAGAATGAACTAGACTATTAAGTCAGTCATTTATCTATGGGTGTAAATTGAATAAATCATGTTGATTTTTACTTACAAAGAAATAACTATTATCTAAATTCTTTTTAGTTTATCCTGTTTAATCTAATTTAATTTAACATGTCTGCATTGATTCATTTCATAGTTTAAACAAAATGAAGTAAACATTTGACGTAAATTCTTACATGATATAATGAATAGTTATTTTATTTGAAGTTAATTTTGATTATATAAACTGTGACAGGATGGTTGAATCTCCTTGATTTAGAAATCTTCAAAGGATTTTGATTAAACTAATCAATAGAAAATTAGACATTTACTTACGCCTGTTACTCTCAATGAAACATAGGACGTCGACCAACATTCTCAAACTCACTGTGTCCTATTATTTCTTTTCTAGTTCTATTCATTTTCTGTTCATTGTTATCATGTCTGTCTCTATTTCTTGGCGTAATGTGTTCTTTGGTCTTCCTCTTTTCCATTGGCCTTGAGGATTCCATGTGAGGACTTGCCTTGTAACATACTTAGGTGCTTTCCTCAATATGTGTCCTATCCACTTTCAGTGTTTCTTTCTGATTTCTTCCTTTGCTGGGATTTGGTTTGTTCTCTCTCACAATAGTTCTTTTTGCTGATAGTGTATCTGGGCAACAGAGAGACTAAGACATCCAAATCGGATGTCGAATACGATCATTTTCGATTATTCAGAGGAAATTCAATTATTTGCATTTCCAACTTTAATCGATTTTAATGGTTAACATCACAAAGTGATCATGGTTAATGAATCATTGGAAATCCAGAAGCATTAGGTACTTGTTTTTTTTCTAACACGAAAACCATAGTAGCGTACATCTACGAAACCACTAGGGATAGAATCAATCTTTAGACTACTGACTAGAGAACAAATGGTTCATATGATTAACTGCAACCAGTCAATGCTATTGACCAATCATCTTGCATTATAATCAGTGGTTAACTGTTAGTCGGTTTAATTAGTGACAATCAGTACTGGATTGTTGAAGCTTCACTGCGAAGTTATGACTTGTGTAATCATCTTTATCTGGATTGAGTCAATTATCCACATTGAATGATAATCACGATATATGGTGACTTCATCCGAATTTTTTATGGAAGCTACTGAATTTAAATTGATTGATTCAAGTGTTTTACAATCAATAGAAAATTTAATGACGCCTGGTTTTGTTGTCTTGGATGAGCATAACTAAAGTGTCCCATAACAAGATAAAACTATTGTCTATTGGTAAGTAGCTATTAATGATTACTTTAGCGATCCCAGTTAATAACTCTCATTATCTTAAAGTAAATAAGACAGCGTAAATTGAAGTATGATATATCAATAATCCTATGATTTCGTTTATTTCAAGTTAAATAATTATCTGTATATAACATTTATAAAATTATCAGTATGGAAATGTGGAGATTGTTAACACCGTTGAATGCCGGCTCAGTGGTCTAGAGGTTAAGCGTTCACGTGCGAGACCGAAGGTCTTAGGTTCGAATTCCGTGAGCGGCGTCATGAGTGTGAACTGCTGAAGAGTTTCACTCCAGAACGCTTAGCATCTAAACCACTGAGCAGGTATCCAACGGTGTTAATGTCTAACTTCAACCAATCCTCGATGTTGTTCGATCATCTT